AAGTGGGTATAATATTCAATTTTTAGCGGCTTAAAGCCGGTTACTTGGATTACAAGGCGGGGGAAACCCGGAGCAACTATTTCACCTTCTGGGACGGTCATCTTGAGTGCTGTTTGCTACTCTTAGATTAGTGTACCGAAAATAAGCTAAAATATAAAACTGAAGAAAAACAATAAGAAAATACGAATCATGGTCGTATTGAGTTTCTGAGCCTTTTATAGCTGGTCCTACGATTATTGTACTAGATTTACTCTCAGTTTCCAGACTTTTCAAACATAAAGTTAAGTTTAACCTGTTGTTAGGCTTTCGGCCCTGCTCTTCGAGTTTTCGGTTTTCCTTCCAACATAAGAAGCATACAAAAAACTGCGAACGTACAATCTTTGCTCACTATAGCTTTCAACATGCAATTCAATATCAGTAAACAGAATGGGACCAGATGATGTTTTTCTGTTGTTAATAAACCCCCCGAGCAAGAACAAACGAGTGCCAAAGTTAATATGCAAAATACGTATTCGACTGCTATGAGAAAAGATCATTAGTTCTTTAGGTTAACATTGATTATAGTTCCACTAATGTGCAACGTGTGTTATGATTTTAAATTATTTGGATAAAGTCGATGTACATAGGACTGTATAAGACTCCAAATAAAGCATTGTCTTGTCTTGCAAATGCTGTTCAAAATGATCTTCACCTCTAGCTAGACTATATTGGGATTTATTATACAGACACGAGTGTTTTACTGGAAAATATACCACTCGTAAAATTCATAAAAACTACATCCGGGAACCGAGTGGTTTATTTTCCATAATCTCACTCGTCAGTTTGTCGATAACGTAATTTCGGTAATTTTCCTTCGAAATTTGTAGACGTCTTGCGTCTTTTGAATTTTACTTAAACATTTTTCAAAGCTTTGCTTATATTTTGTCATTGTAGAACCCTATTCAGCTCAGTGTTATTTCTCAAGATTATTGTAACCAATGTCTTATATTGCTGTACTGTAAATCTGAGCCGTCACAATTACTTTTTGGCGAATTAAAATCTATTATTTTATCGATGTCTTTTTGTCTATATAATAAAAAGAACATTACACGGCGGCTTGAAGATATGAATTTTATTTTCGAATGGCAAAACAATATTTTACGAACGAGCGCAGCGAGTNGATGTTATGGTTTTTATATTATTTTTTTGTTTTGTTTTTTTTTTTTATTTTTCTTCTATAAATTTTATGTTTTTTTTTTTTTTTTTGTTATGAAAAAAAAAAAATAAAAAAAAAAAATGCTTTGTTGTGGTTTGTGGTGTGGGGGGGGGGGGGGGGGGGGGGGGGGGGGGGGGGGGGGGGACTCCCCATATGAAAGTGGTGGGGATGCTCGTCGTCTCGCTTAAGGGTATAAATTTCGCATTTTGGTCTCACTTAGGGTGTTCTGGGCCAAACGCCATCATATTTAGCCGTGAAGGTCTCGTTTAGGGTTGCACGCGAAAACTATATATTGTCTGTGTTTTAACATGGTCTCTTTTAGGGGTAAAAAAAAGCTTGGGCCCCGCCCAGATCGGTCTCCTTTAAGAGTTTTAATTCAAAATTTCCCACGAGCATCCCCACCCCTTTCATATGCGGAGTCTCCCACCTCCCGGGGATCAACATAACTCGAACTGACAATTTGGTTGGTGGTTGTGTTTTTAAATCTTACTATTGGAGTGTACACACCGTGTCACCACAGATGTGCTATGGAGAGTAGATGCGTGTCAGTAAACATTGGTCCGCCCGTGAACGGCAAAGTTGTGTGTCAGCGTAGTGATTCAGATCACATACAGCACCCAGAAGATCTAAAACCAAGACAGGGCTGGGGATACAGAGGCATTACAGAGCTAAGAATCACAAATAGATATTGATAAGCCAACAATGTAATATAGAATACTTCATGGAAAGGGCGCTTCCATATCACTCCTTCGATTTCTGATACATCAACAACTCGTGCGTCAATAGGGTACAAAGCACTTTCCATTGGGCATTGTGTTTATCATATACATACTACGACATTTAGCTACATTTATCACTCTGCAAGCCTTTTATTTCAAATCTTTCAAAAATGCTAAAATGATAAAATTGTTTCCCAGTACAATCACGAAATGAAAAAGAAAACGAAGTACATTATAGTAAAAATATATAACGTAAGGATGTGAGGTAAGAAAGGAATTACAAGCTATGTTGACTTTTTGTTCTGAATTTATAAATAAAAATGAATGAATTACAATACAGTACAATAATTTTATTAACTCTCCCAAAGGGCTATGCGGAAGTTAATTTACAAATGCTAAAAAAAGAAGGGGATAAAAAGAAAAAGCTTAAATTGATTACAATCTTGGTACAAAACTAAAAGCCTAAACTATGCAAGTACAATTACGTTATCTCCTTGGAGATTTAAACTACATCATATATTAACCATTTAACGTATGGGGTCTACCCCCGCAATTCGCGTTTGACGCTCCTCTTAAAGGTACATAGTGACGGGCTATTTCTATTGTCCGCGGTGAGAGAGTTCCAGGCACTTACAGCGCTATAGTAAAATGACCGTTGCGCAGTGACTGGTCTGCAGAGAAGGAGATTTAGAATGTCCCTTTTCCTCGTGTTGTAGTGGTGTGCGCCTGATCGCTTACTGAGTTTACTACTCAAGTACAACGGAGCGAGGCCATTAACAATTTTGTATACTTGGGTAGTATCCCGGACTAATAGCTGATCATTGATGGAGGGCTACCCTAATTTCCGAAGAACAGGCGAGATATGATCAAACTTTTTAGTATCTGTTAATATGCGGGTGGCGAAGTTTTGCACTAATTGTAACTTCTGTACATGTAGATTTTGCTTAGAGGTGCCTGTCCAGACAGTGGAGCATTAAAAAAGTTTACTAAAAATAAGAGAATTCAAATAGTTGACAAGACAGGTTCAGTAAACAGGTGTCTCACCCTACTAATCTGACATAACATGGACAGGAGAGACCATGTTAACGTGTTTACATGATCATTAAAATTGAGGTATGACTCCAGTGTAATGCCTAAGTCTTTAACTGAGGATACCGGAGTGAGTTCTTGGTCACATGATTTTGTTCATTTCACAGGACGATAAGTTGTCTTCATCTGGACTTTGAATGTTTCAAATTAGCACTATGGTCAACTTTCAGACAGAAGTTTATGTACATTTGGAGCTTTTTGACTCGTCCAGGCGATAAACACGACGAAAAGATCAGCAATTGCTGTTCAGATTCTCAAGCTGGTCCAAGCTCACGATCCCGCCTTGACTCTCACGATTTTTTTGCTTTTCTCACCACAAGACTCCCAATCTCATGGTTTTTAGCGAAATATCATTCTAAAATGCAATGTTCCTTTGTTCAATAAAAACGGAAATGTTTACTGTTGCTAAATCGTAATTGATTCTCCTCATGTAAACCCCGAGAATGCGGCAGTGTACAGCCGTCAGCAAAGACTTCGCAACGGTTTTGCGAGACATAATGGGGGACATAATGCGGCCATAATGTTCTTCAAATGCGACGAAATGAGTTAAATTACGGCTTTTACTGTCAAAACCCTGCTTGTTTTCCTGGAATATATCTTTCAATTCTTTACAAATTTTAAACAGCGTCGATTTAATGGGTTTATATTTTCTTTAGAACCCCTGCGCCATTAAACCTTGCCTTAACAATGGAACGTGTTTCACAGGATATACGAGCAAAAACTACCTCTGACATTGCTCTTCTGGCTTTACAGGAGAAATCTGCGAGATTAAAGGTAAAGTACACTTTTAATAACTTGTTTCGTATCAGCCTTGCGGTAAACTATGTTAGGAAAAGGCGAATTTTTAATTCTTGAGTATTCATAAGTATTGGTGGTTTTTACTGTTCATCATCAAAAATAAAAATCAAAACTGTTCAAACTGTTGGTGCCCATCCGAATGGGCAGCAACATGGCGACCAGAAACCAACATAGACTTCTGACGCTGAGTTTTGCTCCGAAAGCGTAAATTCATCTCTTACGGGAAGTCATAAACATTAAAGTAATACTTTTTCTAATACAATGACTGTATAGAGAGCAGAATCTCCCAAAATAAGCCACTTTTTTAACCTTCACGACTGATCTCTCGGCCGCCATGCAATTTCCGCACCAGGAAAAATCTTAGACATTCAAGCGTACTGTATCACAAGAAAAAAGCCCCTTCGAAGTGAAAATTTATGAAAATATTAGTTTTTAGCTGATGTAATACCTAATGAAAGTAAAAACTTATAAAGATCGATAATTATTTAGTTTTGCATCTTAATGGTGTTATTTGAAAACCAGCATTCCCCAATGTGTTCGTGATTTTGATAGGGCGAAAATAGAAACGTTACTCCTAACATTAAAAGACCATGGTAGACAACAAGCGTGTTTTACAATTTGAGCTCAGTCGGTAAATCAAATTTTGCGAAGCGTTTTAACTGGTAAATTATATTTCGTGCGACTTTTCGAATACCTTCTCCGTTCAGTTAGCTTCGTTACAGGAGGCCTTAAGTTCACGGCTTCGGCAAGACCATTTTTTAATCTTTAAAAAAACGCACAGGTAACATGTAGCCTGCGAATAAAGCCTCCTCTTTTTGCTTTGCCATCAGCGAATTGCGATGAGAGGCGGCAGACGAAAGGATTGGAGAACTTTGACGTCTATCTTCCCGCCTGGGTGTTCAGGTCGGGAGGCGGACCGACATCGGGTCCGGCGCAACTAATGTGGTGTCAGGTTGTCATAGGCTGTTATACTTGCCTTGGCAAAGCTATTTAAAAAACAAAATAAAATGCAAAAAGCCTACTTTTTTCTGCAGCCTTGAGACTGAAAAAACAATTAATAACTGCTAGTTTACTTTCATCACAGTTCCTAAGCCGTGTAGTGACTTGAAGAAAATTGATCCCATTGCAAAAAGTGGACATTATGTCATTTATCCAGATGATGAGGGAATGTTATAGCTCCTTTTACTGTTTATTGCAACATGACTGACATGAATGACGTTGGCGTGACAGTTATCAGTCACGACAGCGAGAACAGAACACGAGTGAAAGGATATGAGAGCCCAGGAAGTTACTCCGTGACGCGTGACATTCATTACACTGGAGCGAATCTGTCTCAGCTGGCCAGTCTCACCGCAGTCTCCCTGCGCTGTGAACAGTTTATCACGAGCGAGTGTTTACACTCAGAGATGTACACGGACGAAGTATGGAATTGGTGGGTGTCACGTGATTCTTCTAAGATGAAGTACTGGGACGGAGCATCTGTCAATTATAAGTGCGCATGCGGGATTACTGACTCATGTGCGGATCCCAGTTATGGCGATAACTGTGATGCTGATGACCACGTATGGCGAAATGACTGCGGTCTTCTGACTGACAAGACAAAGCTTCCAGTAAAACAGCTCAGGTTTGGTGAAACTGGAGATAGTAACGAAGATGGTTACCACACTCTGGGGAAATTGAAATGCTATGGCTTAGCATAGACGTTATTTCCTCACAGTGAACCCAGGTCAACTGTTCTCCCTTAAATTCCATTAATGGAACTGATTCTTTGAAAGTTTTTTTGAGAAGTTGTAAATGACGAGACTAGGAATGTGTTCGAATAACTTGAACTACTTGCAAAATAAGACATCACATCTTTACCACATTCGACGCACGTATAGGAAATATATTGACGAGGCTCGAATATATTTTGTGGATTTTAAACCTCTAGAACATTTTTATTTTTACAGTTTACATTTCCTTTACGTGCGTCGAATATGGCGAAGCCGTGATGTCTTATTTTGCACGTAGTTCAAGTTCTTTGAAAGTTGAGTTAGTAATAGTAGATTTCAAATCAAATAGTAGAGGAGACGGGTTATGAAATGTGGGGAAAATCAAAGATAAAAACTACGGTGCTGCAGTTTTTGATGAGACCCCCTTAGTAGTGCACAATCCAGTTGCAAAAATATTTGACACTCTGTAACTTATTTGGGCTTAAGCGGCCTATGCTTGATCTTGCGGTTAAGAGCCCTCTTTCCCCCTCCCCTGCCCCCTCCCCTCTTGGAAAAGTTGCTGGCAATACACTACCATGTTCACTGACTTTATGTTTGGAAGAACAACTTTGAAGGGAGGAGAGGAAGAGCGTAAGTGTTATACTCACAGATGTGTCACTAGCACTAGTGTCTCGACATTTTTGTAACTGGTTATGGATGAAATAATGGCCTGGATTCAGTTGCATGCAATTAGAGACCTTTGGATGCTAAGACAAGGATGACTAAGAGAACGAGAATGTTACAATACTGCGGGAACTTAAGCAACTGCGACGACGACCACAATTTCAGAAAAAAAGGTTTAATGATCAAAACAACAGCCCTGCACGACCATCTCGCTTTTTATACATTTCTTTGACGTCCACTGCACGACTATGACGTGAAACCTCTTAATTTGACGTTTTATGGAGGACATGGACATACGACGACGAATTTCCCTTCCTCTTTTTGATCCTGAATAAAATCCTTAAGAATTCAACTCCAGGAAAGGTCGCCTGCATTTGACAAATTGAGCGGGTCCAAATATACGCGATTAAGTTTGAAAGAACGCAAATTCATTTTTTAGCGACGTTTTTACTGCTGTTGTCGTCGTCGTCGTTGTTTATACTAAGTAGTGCACGCGGCTGAACCAGCGTCATTTTGGCGGGAAAACGAGAAAGCCGTCGTCATTCTACTACGAGTTTTGTCGTAGTGGTGGAAACAAATTATCAAAAGTTGGACGTTTATTATCATTTTGCGCTCGGGAGAGGGCTTAACCTCCTGTAATAAACATAACGGTGCTTACTTTCTGGTGAAACAAAAAGTAGAATGAAGCGGTGTCTTTTTCTTAGAGAAGGCGAAAATATAAACCTTATGTAACTCTCGTCATGGCTAGTCGACCCCGTCCTCGCATTTGAATGCATTTATGACAAGTGAAACTCTTTTTGATAAACGTCTAATCAAACAATTCAACGAAATACCCTTTACTCTGTACGTATCTCATTTTTCAAACCGCAGACCTTTTTGTCTTGAGGCAAAGAATTAAAAAGTTTACCAACATCTTAAAAACATAAGTTCAGTTCGCAGGGTTCAGTTACAAAAATTAAACGAGTAGTGCATACCCTTCATTAATGAAGAGAATCATGGCGGGAATTAAATTCAACGGTTGTCTTAAAGAACTGGTCGAAACTGCAGTTTTCACAGGAAGGAGAAGATGATTTTTACCACGCAGGTTAGAAGAAATTTTAAAAAAAGATGAAAAAAAGTTGAGCATTTACTAATTTTGCACGATGAGTAACAATCAATAAAGGACAAATGTTTTCATTATTATCCAAAATATACTGTTCAATTAAGAAAGGTAGGTTTGAGGCGACCTCATCCTTTATAACCCAGATATCGATGACACCAGGGAAGTTAAATGCGAAAATTAACCTTCAGAAAATTATAAGGAATTTATTAGGAAAGCTTCGAAAATTCTACATGAATGGAACGGTCATCTAGAAATTTGTAGCCGTCGTTAAGCCGCAATTTGCTTGCGAGCAGATGTTTTACAGCAATGTTTGTTTGTGTCAGCTTGTGTCGGCGCTGTTCAGTCTGGTGTTTGCCTTTGGGAAGCTTGGCTGAACTACACACAGAGTTTATAGTAGGTAGTAGGAAATAGGAATTTTAACTACGTTATAAGTCTGAAAACACTTTAGAGATGCACTCTTCACTGATTGGAACCATTTTCTTTACCCCAGTATAGTAAAATGGATTAAAAAGAACCTCGATATTGCGAAACTTCGTTATTATGGTTACAGCAACCAAATTTTGCCAGTCCCTTAGCCTTTGTTATTTGGAGATTCCACTTTACTTGAAAATAACGGCAAAACCGTTTTTAAGTTTCTCAACACGGTGATGCCAAAAATCCTGCAGGGTTATCTAAAGCGAGCTTTCTATAAATTGGACTCGTACCATTATACTCCTCATTTCTTTTTTCCTTTTTCTGTATTTGCTGGCTGCGGTAGGGAAGAACAGTTCGATGATATCCACGCTTGAATAGATCAAAAATTACTTGCTTGTAAAACTAGCGTTTAATTTTAACGAGCTGTTGAATTTTCCTGTTCCCAAACAAACTCTATCATTCATTTCAACGTTGTTCGGATCTTAAGTCCGAAGGGCAATTTTTTGGCATTCTTTGTTTGGCAACTTTCCGTTGGTCAATTTAGCTTGGAATTGTTCCAATTATTGGGTGAATTTCATTCAGGTGTTTAAGTTTTTCATCTTTTTATAGCTACGAGCTTGCCGCTGTCACATTTCTTGCGTGTAATATTATTAATTAACTTTCTTTTCATATAATAACGTGTATATTGTCGGGTTACCCACTGGGGCAGCTTTATAGACGATTACCTTGCACTAAAACAGCCTTTTCCATGTAAAATTTGCATTCGATATAACTTTATTATGTCTATCTATAACTATAACTAATAACGACAGCTAAGTGCAGAGGAAATTCATTTACGATATTTATAACATGACTAAGATAGTAGGCACTTTCTGATTGGTAAAAAAACCTATGGTTTATTGCGCCGGTTAACTCATAGTTTACTTAACGTTATTTCATAAAAGCAATAGACCACACTTTCTATGGGTTTACCGGCGTGATACCCACTTGTCTATTTCTTGAATAAATTATACTCACTCAAGCGTATTCATGGAAGCTTATTCCCTGCAATGCACTGTAAATAAACAAGGTATTGGCGCAAAACGAGGGACTACTCGTAGTCTACAAAATATCGGCACAACTCGGAAAGAGGAGTACATGGACCTACAGAGACCGAAACACGGTTAAAAAAAGCGACGAAAACGGCGAAGCCGCAATAACCTCGATCAACTGTCAAAAATCCCTCTTAAGTTTTGAAAACGTTTAAGTATAAGCGCAATAGAAAGCTTTTGGAAAGCTTTTGCAGAAATTGATATTCTTACTATTTCATTTTGTAACATCGTAAGACGATATTCTAAAAAGGGGCGACCGCCAACCGTGAAAACCATTTTAATCTGGCTAATTGCACACTCCTTGAGTCAAAAAGTTTAAACACACTACATAATTAACTATAAGAAATTAGACGTCCAGATGTTTCAAAACTGGTGCTATCCCGGATGAATTTTGAACTTTTTAAATTTAAGCCTGACAGGGATCGATTATTTTTCAACGGGTTTTCATTATGGCAGGTCGTTGTTGTCTTGGGTTGGTGCTATTACTGGTTTGTGTTTTTTGGGGCGCTTGGCTGAGCCATATCACAAACGCTCAAGTAGGTAAGGCGAAAACTAACAACAAAGGTAGACATTACAAATATCGTCGGTGTTGCATCCTGACTATATAGATATACACATTTTTGTACTTAATAAACTATTCGGTCACCAACTCGCTGACCCTCACCCCGAGCGAGTTATATGCTACGTGCATTTGTGTAACTGTATGTAAGCATTGTTATTTTTTACGCAATCGTGGCATACTTTCCCATTTTTGTAAGAAACGGACGTGATGCTCGGCAACTCGGGTAATTACCGCACATTGCATGATAAAGATGGCTTAAACCCAACTTAATTGCTGTTTTCTCGGTTTTTGGAGTTTCCCATCTGAGTCTATTTCCTGGCTTCAGTTGCATGCAGGGAAACTGAGGCGAAAACTAAATCTGGAGCCTCAAGCACTTATTGAAAAAAGTGAGTAATGCTTTATTATCTGAGCGTTTTCCGCTCGTGGGTAAACATTGCATTGATATACTTCTCTTCAATTAGATTTTATTTTGGTTTTTGGATTCACCTGCATGGTTTAGAGCAACAACCTTTAACATGATGAACGCATGAATTCTTTTATACAATCTCAGGACGCTAAAACTAACTTTAACTTTTTTTTTTAATTACTGGTTATTACTGTGTATGCTTAGATCTTTTTTATGCTTAAATACCTCTCCTGTTTTCATACTCCCAATGATGCAAGTTTAATCTAGCTCCGTTAGGCAATGTCTAGTGTTAATTTCGTATATCTTAATTAGACATGTGCTAGACAAAACAGTCTAACTGCTCTAGGTCAGTCAAGGATCAGTTGTCGTCTATAGCCTTCAATTAGCTAGTTAAATTCATTTTCGCACACTCAGCAAACAGCGAATAGAACAGATCTCAAAATAGTTTTCTTGAACCAATAATCGAATAACATAGAGAGAAGTTCGTTGCCGCCAAAATCCTTGGAGATTCTTGGCTGTTTATACTTAAGATGCGCTGTCAATCTTCTAGAGGCAACTGGCCTTACAGTAAGAAAAATGTCGTCCTTGACCAGAAAGTCAAAAAGTTATCCTTGAATTAACTGGCAAATAGCTAAAAAATTTTCAAATTCCATTTACAGCCCGCACTTTGCCGTTTGGCCCGCGAAAAGGAGCGCTTTAAAGAGTGCAGTTTGTCATTTGGCCGCGTATAGTGATAATAATGCGACAATC